GCTGTATCAGAGGCTATGTCTGTGATGAGCCAGGCATCTAGCTCAGAGACATTCTCCAAATAAAGACAGGCAGAGAGTAGGGAGCCCTGCTGGGGGAAGGGAGTCCTGCATCTTTCACGGAGGTCATCATCAGGTCATGGAGGCTCCAACCTTTACCAGCAGTGCCCTCCAACAAAAGACTGTATGTGTTTACTATCTCTTTTTTATTGAAAATGTTCTTTAATTTTCTACACTTGCTTAGCAAAAACAAGTCTAGGAACACTTTGGGCAGATCCAGTCTTAGATTTGTTATAGAGCTAATGACTAATATTATCATCCTCTAATATTCAACCAAAGCATTACAGAATGGCTCTTAAAACATGGTTTACAAAAAATAATTGATGAGTGAGCACGTGCTTAAACAAGTGAATGTCGGTGTGGTATGTTTGGTTGTTATTTTTATGTAAGATGAGTGTAAACTAAAAATTTTGTGTATTAAACAAACAAACAGTTCAGCTGTATGGATATTACAGCTGGACAGAGCAAGGTGAAGTCAGAAAGGTTGGTAAAGTCATAACTTGGATTTGTAAGAAGGTGAGACACGTAATACATATAACTTCACCACTTATTTCATACTGTACCCTAGCACCACAAGGCCCACTGTGAGGACCACCTAGACACGGGCTTCATAATTTTACTGAAACCTTTAGGGTTTACGTTTTTTGTTTGTTTTTGTTTTTTTGGGAGGTGGGATTTCTTTTTTTTTTTTTTAATTAATTTTAAATTCAAGCGTATTTCCATAAGTATTTTAAAGTTGAAAGTCAGTATGCATATTCTGTTCTGTTCATTTCTACTCCAATTACTAGGTGAGGGAGAGGTTATATTTAGTGAATTATACTCAGGGCCTTAAAACTGCTTTGTATTTCCTGCATTATCTCCTGAACTAGAATGCCATGGCCAAGATATGATCATCATAAATTGAGGATCAGCACTGGAGGAAAATGAAAAGTGGGCAGGTTGAAAGTCGGTATTGAAAAGAGTTGACCTAAGAGAACGACTGGAGACTGGTATTTCATGTTGCATCAGTGCTAGCACGTCCATCACTGGTTCTTATGCCAATGACAATATTTCCTAATTATATATCGATGATAATAAAAAACCAAAGGTTAATATCTTCGGCAATGATTTACCCTGCCTTAATATGTTAAGAAGCTCCGATAATCCATTAGCAGACCACTTGTCTTTGTGGTAAATTTATGTTATATGTTTGCTCCGGTAAAATAGAAGAATTCCCCACCATTTAGTTCATAAATATTTAGAGAGGAATATATTTTCCTACCTTTTCCCCCAATGCTATCTTAATCAAAGTTTTTCAAAAATTCAAGTCACCATCAAGCTTCTAATTATTTTCATAATTCTTCTTAGTACAAACTTATTTTAAATCAAAGTATAGATGTAGTTTAATAAATAAAAAATAAAATTTGTATGGCTTTTAAAAGTAAATTTTAACTTCATGAAAAAATAAAATTATTAGATACCATAGAGAATTCTACATAGCAAAAATATTGAAATTTGAAGTTTACTATAAAATATCTCACAAATAAAACAGAATAGGATATTCGAGGAACAAACATGAACAAAGTTTGAATGGGACAGCAGGCTGCATTAACATTAATCCATGAAAGCACGAAGTCAGTCAGTAGAGGTATGGATACAGAATTCCTGGTTCTCTTCTATATATTGCTTTATACGTTGTATAAATATTTGTGAGTGTGTGTGTTTTTGGAAACTGGAATATTTAGTCTTCATTATTTTCAAATGCAGGCCAACTTAACCTCCTCACATATGTGCACCCATGCAGAAGTCTGTACGTGTGGTTAGAGGACAACCTTCAGGAGTCATGTCTCCCCTCCTTCCTTGTTGGATCCAATGTACATCTTCAGGTTTGGTATCAAGCAATGCTTCTTGCTGAGTGATCTTATCAGCCCTCACCTATTTCTTTCAAAATCTTGTCTTGTGCAATTACTTGAACTCATGGTCTCCTTAGTAAATTAGCTTTCTCTTTCTAATATACTAATTGTGAAATAATACAGAAAAGGTAGTTTTGTTATGTGTACAGTGAGAATTACAAGGTATTCAGAAACTTGGCAAATACAGAGTACAACTGACATATTATAGAGGTATAAAATAATTTACAAAATTAATTTAATAAAATGCCTAGGGCAATAATGCTTATGAAAAAACAATGATGGTGTCTCTATTTTCATTTAACAACACATTTAAGGCAAACGTTGAATTACTTTGAAAATATGTTGTATTGTCTAATTTCTGAAATAAAACACAATAAAAATAATATGTACATCGATGATCTAAAGTTATGACAACACACATTCACATACTCTCTGCAATTTCCTAGTTGTCTCGAGGTTAGTGCTCATGGCCTAGGCGAACATCAACTGGAGTATCTGAGCTATTTCTGAAAATAGCTGCGCCTTCCCACCATGATACTTAACATAATTTAATATATTAATTTTCATAAAAAGTTCATGTAGGGTTAGGGTCGTTTTTGTTTTCAGTACTATTTTGAATGTGTAAGGACTTCTGTGTGTAGTTAACATTGTAATCTTCGTGCTGCTTTTGAAAAGAAAAGGTTATCTACGAACTAATAACTGTCTGTGGCTCATACCTGGACTTTATTTGTGTACAACCTTATGATCACTTAGAAATTCTCCTGCTCAAGTGCACAGTGGTGAAATATACTGCATATTGTAGAGTAAGCACACTTTTTGATAGCACACAGACTGAGTTTCTAACTTTCTCTGTCACCCTGAGACCTAGAAGTATCTGTAGGTCTCATTTTCTTCACTACATGGTTTAACTCGGAACGTACTGAAGAGCGGGATGCATGGAGTTTAGGAGTTAGCTCCTGACTACACACAGACTGGAGCAGTGCAGAACACTTTCAGGGTGGATGCTTTTTTTTTTTTTTTTGCCTTTCCCCACAGAGCGGGGGAGAGAGTTGTATCTTGGTTATGTGGAGACGAGTGATAAAATATGAAAGAAGTTCCTGGAACAAATAATTTTCACTGAATGGTGCATCTACATTACAGCTAACACATACATATTTTCAATGCAACATCCAATGAGATCCAAACATTGGTTCAAAAACTGTACTTACACTTTACAAGTCATAAGTATAGAAAGATTGTTCAAAGGAAAAACAAGAAAAGGAAGAAATTGTTATCTAGATGTAGTGTTTAATTTTGTAAAAATAAGGACATATACCCCATATTTTTCAGACAATGAGTGTTCATGGACAATTAAGAGAAAAAAAAACTCCTTTGCACAATAACTCACAACAACATAAAAATTTCAAAGTAGATTTTCTAAGGGAAAGAACCTTTTTTTTTTTTTTATGGGACTGATGATAATTAGAATTCTCCATTTTATGTCCATGAAACTTCAGTGGGGTGCTACTTCAAACACAGTTCTAGGACAACTTGGCACAAAGAACTAAACCTGTCAACCACCCTTAGCTCTTCACCTTTTAGCAGACACTCTCATTCGGAGTCTCACATATAAATACATTAATATTAGAAATGGACACGGCTATAAAGCAAAGGTTTGTTCTAAAATTACATTTCTACACAGAAGCATATTGGGATGTACACACGTACATGTTTCTGTATGCATCCAATCTCTTTGTTATGGAAGTGGGTTTTCCTCTTGCAGTTCTTGATTTACACGTGTTACTAAGATGGTCAAATTGCAAGAAGCATATCTTTCAGATTTGTTTGAGTGTGTGCAGAATTCTAAGGCATTGGAAGTATTTGCTCCACAAGGCAAACTTTGCCCTTGCCATGACACACTCTTGAAATATTTAACAAGTCTTTAGTCTTATTAGCCAGCCACATATAGTGAGGCATTCATAGTCTACAGGCATTTGGCTCAAAGCTCAGAAACTTGTCATTGCTGCTGATTTAATGTTTATGGAATAGCACCATAGGAAATATTTCAGAAACAAATCATTTGCCACCCAATATTGTATTTTTCAAACTGAATTCAAGAAGAGAACAAAAAGAGAGATTTCATGTCTCCCAAACTCTACTTCCACTTCATCTCATTAGTTTTAAATATAGTAACACATCAATAACAATAACCATAACAGTAACACATCAACACATTAACAATAAAACAAGACCATAGCAGCAGTAGTAGTAACTGGAGAGAGAACTATCCAGCAGTCATTTGGGAGAAGGCTGCACACATGTTGGGATTATCTTAAAGATTCATAAGACATGATGGATTTCCTGAATTTAGTGTGACTATTCAGCACTTTCACAGAGAGAAATGAATTTACTAATGAACTGGGTATTATCCAATAACTAAACATGATTGAGATTAACTTCATTGCAGACAGTATAGATATTTTCCAAAGTATAGATACAATGAAGTGCTCACAAAATTATTTGTGTGAGGAGGTTAAGCTGGCCTGCATTAGAATAATGAAGATGAAATATTCCAGTTTCCAAACACACACACACACACACATGTGCACACATACACACACACAAACACACACCTATGTTTATATGACAAATCACTTTCCAAAGACCACTATTCCACATCACCTTACATGGAGTTGGTTTACACTGTGTCTGACCTAAAAAGACTAAGCCAACATGAAAAAAACCCAAGAAGTATGTTTCCACATTATGATCTGTCTGGTCATTTTATGTCCCCAGATCTTGAAAAAGTAGTCAAGAAATCACTCCAGAGAAGCACAGCCCCTGGAATGAACTGTCTGAAGAGTGAGGCATCTTTCTCAAGCTGTTACTCTTCCTTGAAGCATGTGGTAACCTTCCACCGTGTTTATTGATCTTCAAGCATGACTTTCAAACATCTTGCAATGCTAATCAGGTTTTAGTTCTCTTTCATTTCAGAGATAACTTTAATCTTGCAGTCCTCTTTTATTCAAATTCATTATACAAAACATTTTTACTAATATTTTCAATTTTAAAAATGTCTTCTTTCCACGTCATGTTCCTTTATGTTCTGAGGGAGGGTCAGTATTAATTCTCAGCATGCATAGTTTCTGGGTACCTTATACTTTTGTATCTTATATAAAATCCTTTCTTGTTGATAGTATCATCAGTATGAAAATGAACTAAAACTGCATCTTCAATTGAATAAATTTCTTCTGGTGGCTGAAAGGACAATAAGAAAAAAAAAAAAAAAGCAGAAACCAAATGAGCAGTAGAATGAACTACTATTTCTTGTAATGCACATGCTCTAACAATTCAACCCACTCAGCAACCTAGAAAAGCTCTCATGTTGTATTTCTTTAGATTTAGGGAGGAAAATGGCATACGAAAGATCTCATGTTTTAGTTCACTTCTAAATTCCAGAATTTTCAGTAAGATTGGATATTTTTTTCAAAACTTTAATCCATCTTCTTTTAAGTTATATGTAAATAAAGAAGACTACAAAACAATAAGGAGATAGTGAGTCATTGTTCTGAAGTGAGTCACTTGTGAAATTTAGATCATCTAAATCTTCATTTCTTCCGCTTTTAATAGTCTAAAACTTTCTAAGAAGATCTTTTGCCACAAGTGCTATTTGGGTAGAAGTTTGATATTATTATTACTATTATTATTATTATTTAATTCATAGATAAGGCTTGAGAAAGAGCCTCAGAAAGTTGAGGCTATTGTCATCTCAAGCAAAAACAGACATTCAGAATAGTTTGACTTTGAGTGCAGTGAGTCCTGGAAGACATAGAAAGTGCTTTTCACTCTAGTTTCTCATGTGGCTCCCCACTTGCTACATCTCGACTCTGTCTGTGCACGGAGAGCAACGGAGCGGGGTCCAACTTGGCTCGGCCTACCTTCATAGCTGCCCCTGCCACTCTGACAAGAGAGATTTCTTAAGAAAGGAATGTGAACTGGAGCGATGTGGGTTTACTTTTTCTGTCTCTTGTGCTTTAACGTAGGAGGGAACAACGTTGCCGAGGCTGTGTATCTGGATATATTGTTTAAGATTATTATGCATTTAAATATCCACTGCACAATGAGAACTTAGAATTTGGAAAACGACAAAAAATCAGAACTAAGTTCATCTACTCACATGAACTGTAAACTCATAAATGAAAAAAAAAAGGGGAAGAGAAGAGCCATGCTTACTTTTGTCAAGCCAATGATAGTAAGAAAGTGTGACTTTTTTTCAAGAATCTTTATAATTTGTAAATATTATATATATGATCAGGCTCCTTATTAACTGGGTGTCAAATATCAACAGTGATGTGTACTTACGCCAGATCCACAGAATCTACCAAGACCCATAGCTTTTGAATTGAGACCATCAAAAATCTCAACATAGTCATAGCCGCAGTCAGCTTCTTCTTCTACTTCAAAAGTCTGGAAGGACAATTCCAGTCGAGAGCCTCGTTCGGACACTAGCAGCCACTCACAGTCCACTTGTCCTGGGTAGTTATTGTCACCAAACTGAGCATGGGAGTACAGGTCTCTGGGCTTGGGCTCTGCTTTCAATCGACCACCGCACTCTGCCCAAAGATAGAAAAAGGAAATGATTAAGGCGGTGAACTTCCATGGTCCTACCTCCATTTCAGTGGTCTCTATCCAACCTCTGGCTCCTGTTTCCATGTCTAGTTTTAGGTGTGTGTATGTTACCAGAGGTCAGAAAGGATCATGCATACAGGCAGAAATGGCACACACAGCCTATCTGGCTTCTCAGCTTAAACATCTGACTAGCTATATGACTATGGACAAATGTCTTTGATCTCTATTTTTCCAAAAGTAAAATACATATGATAATGACATTAATTTTTTGTGAGTTTTCAAAATACAGTACCCACTTGGAAGATTATCTGTCACATAATAATGCTCAATGGAATTATGGGAGATACACCTAATGCTGTTTTTACCTTTAAATGATTCTTTTTATGATGAAACTTAGAACTCAGTAACCATGGGAATAAAAATAACATGAAAATATTAAAACATATAAAATTCATGTGTGCATGTACTATATAGAACAGTATGTACATCTGTTATTATATATGTTCAATAATAATATTTAATTGAGCAGTAATATTATCTCACTTGATCAGCAAAAGAATACACAATTCATCACAGAATCTGTCTAGATATAATTGGTGTATTTGCTATAATAAAATTTTAACTTTATTTTTTAGAGAAGTACAAATCAGCTTTGTGTACTGCCATCATCACCCATGGAAAACACATCAAAGAAATAGAGCTGTGTGAATAAGATCTCTTAGCTTGTCTAATTTAAACAAAGGGTTATTCCCAAAACTCTGTAGTGGTTAACTGTGGTCAGAGCCCTCGATTTATTATAACAGATTAAACAGAAGCATCTGCAGGCTAAAATGGCCTATCAACAAATACATCTGTAAGCACAGAGATAAAGAAGGAGATGTGAAGAGGTTGGCAGAAGGCAGGCTGCTTGCCAACATCTGAGAGGTTTCCTACTATCTGTGACAACTTTGGAACTAGGAATTCCAAAGCCAAGACCAGGAAATGCCCCAGAAAATAAAGGGTTGTGGGACTTGGAATGCTAAACCACTGGGTATGAAAACACGTTCTTAAAAAGTGTCACCATTGGTCATAAGATAACCTATAGTTTGGATGGGCTGGGCAGCAGAAATGCCTAGGACAGTTTTTAGATCAGTATTTGTTAAACTGCATTGTGCTTGGGGGATTTGTTCATTTTTATTCACCTTGTATTTATGTGTGTGTGAAGATACTGTGTGCACGTCCACATATTATGGAAATCAGAGGTAGACACCAGGTGTTTTTCTCAATCATTCTCTACCTTATTTTCTTAACATAGTATGTTTCACTAAGCCTAGATTTTGCCAGTTGGGCTGATTTGGCCAGAATATTGGTCAACAAATCCCAAGTTCTCTCTGTCTTCCCAGTAACTAAGTAGGGAGCTGTGTGGCACAGTGCCTGCTTTCTAACCTGCTTTTGGGAATCTGAACTCGGGCTTTCATGCTTGGGAGGTACACAGTTTACTGACTGAGACACCTCCCCAGCAATCTGCTTGCTAACAATTTTAGATTAATGTTTCTGAATCTGATATAAGAATCCTATATCTGAATGTATAGGGTCAATAAATCCTTAGGATTTGTTTCAGTGCAGCTTCTCATTCACAGATCTTCATACTTCTAGCTCCAAGAATATCGTCCTCATAGAGTTAGCTAATATACTAACAGAGATGCTACTATTACAGTTATTTACACACCAAATAACACATTAATGATACTATCCCTAAGGACTGGAAATTCCACCAGATTTGTGATTGTGTTAGTCGAAAATCACACATTGGAAGCCAAACACTGCTTCCCCACAGTAGCTCTTTCTTAATCAACTCCCAGGAAATATTCTGTCCTATATGCCACAGACCTTCACAGTCAGATTTTGTATGTCCAAATCTAGGCTCTGTTCCACTTTGTACAGGAACTCTATCCTGTTTTATTTTTATTTTTTAATATTTATTTAACATATTCTGTGGTGCTAAGAATCGAACAAAGGGCAGTGCATGCAAGGCTTGTACCCTCCCACTGAGCTAAATGCCAGGCTCTGCTTCATTTCAAAATGGATATCACACACAGTGCTCATGGCAGACAGTCATTGTGGAAAATGGATGATCAACCCATACATAAAATTTAATGCTGCAAGACTCATAGCTAAAAGCAATCTTAAATGCCTTATTTAAGCTATGAGAGTACATGGAAAATCAGGTGTTTTACTGAAAGCAACAACAACAAAAATGGAACAAGAGCTTTAAAAAGTATTAATTTTCTATCAGAAAGGAATCGTTTGTATCTTTAGGAGCTGTAAAAACACCACCTGAAAAATGCATCTGATTTTGGGGGCTTTAAATGGTTCAGTAGTTAAGAGCGCTGGCTGCTCTTCCAAGGGGCCTTGATTCAATTTCCAGCACCTACAAGATGGCTCACGACCTTCTGTGACTCTAGTTCTAGGGCATCTGATGCCCTCTTCTGCCTTGCACAGGCAACAGGCATGCTTGTGATACACACACATTCATGCAGGCAAACAGCCATCCACGTGAAATACAAACAAATGAGTCTGAAAAATACATCTGATTTCAAGGTAGAATTATGTGAACCATTGAATTGAAGTTTCTTATTTTAATAACTGCCACTTCTTAAGGTTCTGTATACTGATGGATTGATGTTGTTTCTAATTTTTAAGAACAGTCAGCACTTTAAATACAATAACTCCACGGGTCAGAAAGAACTGGGGCCATGGCACAGGAGATACAGGGTACGCGTGTTTGGCATGCCTGCTTCAGAGGCAGTCTTCTGTCATCCCCAAATTGGAAGGAGAGATAGATAAGGTTGAAATAAAATAGAAGAACAAAATGTGTAAAGACACTTAAGACATCTAAGAACTTACACATAACAAAGTTGTCAACACTTGTTTTTATTAAAAGTCATAGGGCATTAGGTTTAAGAGAGAGTAAAATACTAGAAAAACTATTCTTTCGTGTTCACCAGGTTTAGTCATTCCTAAATGCTCATACATCTCTGTTCATTCCAATAAATGTAAAAACTATTTTACTATCATTAAAAACCATAGAGAAAATTTACTCTGCCCATGATGGTTTTAAGATAAACATTTGGGATCTCATGTCTGCCAGTGGTATGAAATTTGTATGCCCCAAGAGAAACCTCACATCATAAAATAATATATATCATGAGGTAATTCATTGCTTTTTGACTTCTCCTAGTTATTCAAACCCAAGCCAACATAGTGTTTGACAATTTCCTGGAAAAGATAATTCATGTAGTCAAAATGTTGTCAATAAATATCTGTATTAATTTATCAAGCCAAAATATATAAAACCAGTCTTGAGCATGCCAGCAATATAGCTTTTAAATCAATAGTTTAACAGTGTTTTCTAAGGTCCCAAGGCCTCATCCATACTTCTGAGAACCTGAAAATAGACGTGTGGTAGATTTCACTTTAATCTGCAAAGACGTATTTGTTTGTGTCTTGGTAAGTATTAAATTCCAAGAAGACATCCTGCAATTTAACCTATTAGTGCTTTTAGTGGTCTATTCTAGTTCAGCTGACCTCCATATAAGTAACTTATTTAAAAGGGTATGATAACATATTATTGGAGTTTTAAATGCCACTTGCAAACAATAAAATGCTTGCTACTAGAGAAAAATCATGCAAAAAAGGCAAAGCTACTCTTTTACTCCATTCCCTGTCTACCTTTCTTTCTTTCTTTCTTTCTTTCTTTCTTTCTTTCTTTCTTTCTT